CCCCCCTCGATGCCCGGGAATAGCCGATCACGATGGGGATGCGACGCGTTTTTACGTTCTTTTAACGGCAAGATTGCTTCGGGGGTCGGGATTTGATGAATTGTTTTCAACGCGAAAAAGAGCGGGAAATTTAATGCTCGTTTGAACATGTATGAGGCTGGAAAATAGAGGTCGGCCATTATTTTTCCTTGTATGAATTTTTTTTTTAAAGAAACTTGTTACACATCACATGTTTATCTCCGTCGCAAATGAGTGCACAAGTTTATACACAAACTAACCCTGTGTATCACAGAAAATATAATTGAAATGTGTTTAATTTGTTATTTACTACTGGACCAAAATAGCGGGGCAACAGTAGCGGGAATTTTAACAATGAATGTGCCCTCTTCTACCAGGGGAAATGTACAAATATTTAAAAATTATGTAGGCATTTTTTTCTGTAAATAGAATTTGCCATGTATTTTCATTATAATTGCATAATATTTACAAACTCTGTAAACTATAATCAACTTTTCCATCATCGACGGGGATTTTAAGTACTCGGGAACTCCAATCATATTACAGCGCTAGCATAGTTTGTAGAGGGAAATGGTTAGGAAGCCTTTTGTTGTAGGTTTTTGTGCACTTTTTTCCAAGCGTGACGGTGCACAATCTTTTGTTTAACTATTGTTTTATCCAAACTGGGCACATCTGAATGAACAGAGCGAAAATTATTCTTTTGGCTATTTCTTCAATATGCACAAAAACTTTTAATCAATATTGAAATATTTCATTTCATAATCTCATTGAGAGTGTGTTTCTGTTCACTCATTTTGCAATTTCCATCGTCCGTTGGAAATATATGTGGTTCACGGTCTTGACTGATTCAACCTCAAAATACATACAAAAGATGTGCAAAAGGAGTACACGAAAAGGTTTTTAAACCATTCTCCTCTATTAATTATGATTACAGTCAAATCTCCACTTGTAAGCCGCCTACGGGACAGCTCTAATAATGGACAGCTTTCTAAAGTCTCCTTTTCTTTTCCTCTTCCATGCAAACCTGATGATGCAAACACTGTATTCACACTTTCCCATTGGCGGGTACAACTAGTAGCTTTAGTCTAACAAAGTACACTCTTTCACGTCAAAAGCTAGGCCAGCGTTTTCCATACAAGCACACTATTTCGCTCTGTCCATGGATGGATCTTGCGATATTTCGAGTTTTTTTAGCTTTTGTCTTTAGTTGTTTGTTACCATTCTTCACCAAGTTGTTTCTGGTCTTCCTTTTCTTTTTATTCACTGATTTTATCTCCATTAAAATCTCGCCTAATGTCAATGACGTCATTATGCGATAGAGTAATTGTTTTTAAATCTTAACAAATTACAGAGCACATTCTTTGTAGCTTCGCGAAAATCCGACAAAAATAGGATATATACACAAGGGCTGAAACTCACGTTAAAAACTGGAAGGATTCTCACGAAAAACTGTATGTACCTCCAAGTGATGCAACCAAAAGATAAACAGAACCTGGACTTGTACACTGCGATGACAAAATACCATACTAACAAATAAATGAAATACGGTAGAAAACAACATGTGTACAATACTGCTGAAGCGAGAACCATTCGTACGGCTGCTTGCGTTCGACGAGCTCGAGCTTTTCGTTGCTCTTCATTCATGTGGGTTTGAATGGCTTGAACTCTAGACAGTCGCTTTGTAGTCTGAATACAAAGTCCAAAAATCACACACACAACGATGATGGCTAAAATCTTAGTTACCAAACGTATTGAATAATACAAATTTTGATCTTTATCAGCAACACCACAGGATCCGTCTTCATCTGTCTTTTTGCAGTATAATAAGTAAGAGTCCATTATCATTGGAATCGCCCAGGTTATACTGACAACTTTGATTCTTTCTTTTGAGGTATATGGCCGTGATATTTCCAGTGTTTGCCTTGTTGCTCTGAATCGTTCGATGCTGATTATCAACAAAGTAATCAAGGAGACTCTCAGTGTCACATTGGTAAGAAATTGTTCAACTTTACACAGAATATCTCCCAATATGCCATCAGGATATATCAACAGCATATGTTTGCCAGAGAGCCAATGAAACTCTGTGAAGACTACTTTCAAGAGAGAAAGAAAGTCTGCAATGGCCATATTGATGATCAAATGATGCAGGTTTTTCCGTACAGTGTACTTTACAGCGAGTACGACGACGAAGATGTTTAAAGCAAGTCCACATGAAATCATTATTATAGCAATAATGCGTTTTGCATTGAACTCTAAATCACTTCCATGTTCACAATCACAAATGTCGTTACCAGAACTAATGTTAGTGGAGTTCATTGTTGTAAAGAGTGTCGAAAATCCTTCGATTAAATACAAGATATATAAGGTTCAATGTATAGCTACAAAACAGAATTGTAATATTGAATTTATTACATGTTATTATATACGTTATTCACAATGTGCAGCTGTGCTGATTCTATGAATGGTAAATAAATTGTGATGGATGTCTAAAAACTAGTACTTTAATAAAGTAAATTAATTTTCGTTGATGAAGGTGGTTTCCTATAGTTTTTGTTTTCGACCATATCTCTCCTTTTAAATTTGCTTTTTGAAAATCTTGCCATGCACCGATTTAATTGGTGTTTGGAAAAAGTATAAAGCATTGACCAAAGTTTTGTTTTGCATAATATTAAGATCCATCAACGTTACCTAAGCAACGAAAATCCGAGCATTTTGTCGAAATTCGTTTTTACCAAAAAATATCTCATGTATGAGAAGCATAAAAGCGGTAGACATCATCATTAACTTCAAACTATTGCACAACATTTTGGAACTAGTTGAAAACAAATTCATATATTCGATTTCGAGTAATATTGACAAATATTTTATGAATGTGAATTTTGCATATTACTCGAAATGGCGATTTATTTACGTTTGTATATGCCAAAATAGTATAATATACTATAGTAGTAATGTACTGTCGAAATTATTATTAAAAATGGCATGCTCATTTTGTGAGAATATTGACTTATTGATCTTATAAATTTCAAAAAGATTGGGACGCAAAAGGAGTGTCTTATAATTTGTTCGAGTTTGTCACTTTGTTTACATTCATTTTAATCGTATTTTGAGGGATGATTTGCTGTCAAACACTTGCATGCAATCTATGCATGGCCAGATTCATATATAGGGTTATGAAGCCCTGCTGCCGGGCCGACGGGGTCTGTTCTTCTAAATAACTGTTCTTGTAGGATTTTTTTTCTGGGAAAGGGATTTTGATTTACATTGTTGACAATCTCACAAGCAAATATGGCGCCCTTCCTTCTTTAAAATGATTTTGTTCCTGGCAAACGCTTTGAAGGCCAAAAAAGGCTTATGTAACGTTAATGGTCAAAAACGGCTTTAATTTTTTCAGTTAGGGAATTTTCGTTTTCCAGGCAAATTTCTTAGAAAGTATTCCTTGCTTGGAAAATTCTTTTTTCCTGTTTCTCGCTCTCCAAACCAGTTGTGACTTACAACTGGCTGGGACATAAGAACAGATATATTTCTCCCAGGAACTCGTGTTTGTGTTTTAGAAGGCCTATAACAGCTATAAGGCTTTTAAACCGTTAAACCTTTTTGGCTGAAAAGCCTTTTGGGAGTAAAAGGTTGTAGTCCAGTCAATCTACGCGATTTTATAGCCCAAGATCAAACTAATTGCAACAAAAGCTTTTTCACTGCCAAATGRYAGKTACTGGTBTACTAACTAACATACTAAAAGTTCCCCAAAATTCGGATAGAGGAACATGGTTAAAATTAGGTAACAATCGGACAATAAAACCACAGGTAGCCCAAGCCAAGTAAAAAATCAGAATTTGTCTTTCTTATTTTGCATTTCAATTTTTAGTGGTATTGGAGATTTCTAATGATCTAATTATATCTTTCTTGTCTTAAAATAGCTATAACCACTAAAACGAGATGGTTTATGGCAAAAATAAGGGGTTTTTATCCACAGGAAGCCCAGAAATCAAGTTCTGATTAATACTGTATTTTAGTTAACTTCAACTCTTATTTAAGATGTTTTTGAATCGTCATGTTGTTTATTCTTAAAATGTGAACATGTAAGCCATAAAAAATTAAACATAAGCGAAATTTGTAACCAGGTTATAACAGAGCGGATGTCTTGAAGAGATAAGTCACTAGCCTGTATGTAAGTAAATTTGGAAAATCACTGTTTTTTAACTGTCT